GACTAGCTGATTCTCAAATTTTGTCCAGGGCAAAATTTTTGTGACGTAGCTTGCGTGCATATGTTGAGTTATAATGCACGCGCGTGACGTAAGCAGAGTGCTTTATGGAGCTATAATGAACTTGAACTGACCAATCACAGCGCGCGCAATTACTCGAACATTTTATAAATCTTAGTAATGTCTTTCATTTTTTTCACGATAATACAGTTTTATCCTAATTAAAAGAATAACTTGTAAGCCACACATGTATGCACTATGGACCTATTTTTCTACATGTTTTCACCTTCTTCTAGTATAAATCCATGCCATTTCTTATTTTTGGTCGGGATCATTTGCGGTCCAGTATGGGGATCATTTCCAGTCTGGGATCATTTGTGGTCCTGGGATCATTTGCGGACCTGTATAGTTGAACTGTTGCTATTCGATATTTGACAGCCAGTTATAAAAGAAGTGTGTTTGTAATAGATTTGGCTTTAAAAGATAAAATGTTCATAGCATTTCTGAAGAAATATCTAAGAAATAAGATGAGAAATAGACCTTCCTTCTCAAAATCAACATAATTACAATTTCTCGCATTTTAAACATTCCAAACAAATATAAATTCTACCGAAAATCAATCAATGTATTCATTCCATGTCAGTACATCTACAGGTATATAAAAAAATACTTGCTAAACAACCATAATCCTCCTGGACAATGGTTCATTCACTCGTTGGCAGTTAGCGATAGGAACAACTAGTATTATTAGTATCCCAATCATCTCATAGTTTTGCTTACAAAAGAGACAACATCATGCTACGTTTGAAAAGTTAATAAGTTGTTTATCATATGGCTTTTGGTTTTGTTTAGATGGCTTTTTGCTTTGTTTTTCTTCCTTTTGTCTCTAGTTATAGAAACAGTTTGAATAGTTTCAGAACACTTCAAAAAGTTGTGTAAACACTCATCTGTAGCATGCATTCTCACAGCTATTCGCATTCTCTCAAACCTCCGCTTACAATAATTGCTGATCTTGGCTTGCTAGGTTCTTTTATATTCATTTATATTATAGATAGGTCCCTGCACGTGCTCTGATTGGTCAAAAACCCATGTTTTATCAGAGTAGAAAACATAGAAAAAGCGTGTTTTATTGTTTTGTGTGTGTAAAATCTCTGTTATGAAGCAAATGAAGAAGCCTGAGCCGTGTATTACACTGTGATAAAACACTCCAGACATATGAGAACACTTCAGAAATGTTGAAAACACTCGCCTGCGGCTCTTGTTTTCAACATTTCCCTTTTGTTCTCAAATGCCCGTTATGTTACAACCAAAACATTTCCTAGAAACAGTCCAAACATGTAAATTGCAATATGAATGTAACAGATCAAACAAACCTTTCACTTTCCAATCCTTGTCTCCTGACATAATTACTTGGAATGTAACCCTGCTCCCTAAATAATAATATTATAAACTTTAATTTATTATTATACCTCTAATTAGTACATGCAATAGTATATGCACTGTGAGTGGCCAGTTTAGTAGGCTATATTCTACTGTAGAGTGCACTTAAATTTGAAGCTGTTCCTGATCTTGTCAAACAGAGATACTAAACCTTGTATTCTTGGTCTGCACTAGCTGTAAGTTACAGATCCTCATTTTCTCCCCTTCAATTTGTGGCCTGTGCACTTCATGCTAAGACCATAAATTGATGGTTCTAATTTACAGCACTACACCATATCAACAATTCCAGTCTCACAGGGTGTTCATTACACTTTGAGGGTTGTCCAATAATCCTGAACTGAGTCAGAATGACAACAGTGGTGAAAGATCTTTCTCACCAGAAGTTATTTCGCAAGAAGAACAAACATTGTCTGTAGCGTGAACATTTGTGTTTATATACTGTTTAGTGTGTTTTTGAACATGCACTTATAGGACAGAGAATATACATTATGTGTAGCATGTTTGTGGCCTCATGATTTTACAATGAGGAACATTGTTTGTGGCATGCCAAGAATATGATATCCTGACCTGACTACTGGAATGTCAGATCAACTCTAGCTGTGACGGGTCATCATGATCTATCAACATATTAACAGCCATTCCTTCCTTGGCAAGCTGACCTCCGGTAAATTGAGTTCACGTCCAATAATTGGAATATAATATAATTGAATATCACGACCTGACTTCTTGTAAGATGGGTCAACTCAAGAAGAGTTAACCCAACTCAGTTCAGGTGTATTGGACATGGATGGTAAATCTCCAAGCTAAAACAGCAGGGTTCTCCATGAGCACCAACAGCCACCAAAAATGACCGTCTAGTATATAGTCCTGGGTGTGCCAGCAATTCTCAAGATTTTCCAAGACACAAAATGTACATAAGGATCATTCTCAAAAAGTCTTCTTGCTTTAAATA